ATTGACAAATACCACAACAAACTGATCCAAGTAAGGTCGAAACACTCTGTTCATCAAATCCATAAAAGCTACCGGAGCGTTAGTCAACCCAAAAGGCATGACTAAGAACAGAGGCCATAACGAGTCCTGAAGGCAGTCTTAGGAATATCCTCCTCCCTAATCCTTAGCTGATGGTACCCAGTCCTCAAGTCAATCTTAGAGAACAATTGCGCCTCCTTAGTCTTGGAACAATTTCGACCTTACTTGGATCAGTCTAAAGTGTAATGCTCAAGTGTCTCTCATGCTCCTCCTTAGTCTTGGAATATATTAGGATGTCATTGACAAATACCACAACAAACTGATCCAAGTAAGGTCGAAACACTCTGTTCATCAAATCCATAAAAGCTGCCGGAGCGTTAGTCTACCCAAAAGGCATGACTAAGAACTCATAGAGGCCATAACGAGTCCTGAAGGCAGTCTTAGGAATATCCTCCTCCCTAATCCTCAGCTGATGGTACCTAGTCCTCAAGTCAATCTTAGAGAACAATTGTGCCCCTCTGAGTTGATCAAATAAATCATCAATGTGTGGCAATGGGTACTTATTCTTAATAGTGACCTTATTCAGCGCACGGTAGTCTACACATAAGCGGAGTGACCAATCATTCTTCTTGACAAATAAAACAGGTGTTCCCCAAGGTGATGTGCTAGGTCAAATAAACCCCCGATTTTGCAACTCTTGAGTCTGCTTCTTCAACTCACTCAATTCAACTGGCACCATTCTGTAGTGTGCCCTAGAGATAGGTGAAATACCAGGAGTGAGGTCGATGTAGAAATCCACTGCCCTCCTAGGAGGTAAACCCGAAATATCTTGAAACACATCTGCATACTCTGACACTATAGGCAACTGCTCTATAGTCAATCGTTGCTCAACCACCTCAATGTGTGCGAGAAATCCCATAGTCATGGTGCCCTCGAACTCCCCACACTTATATCGAGAAGGTAACTGTCCCAGAACTAAGAATACAATAATCCTCTCATGACAGTCTAATTGAGCATGATATCTAGCCAACTAATCCATACCCAATATAGCGTCAAAGTCTCTCATATGTAATACAATCAAATCAATAGGATACTCCAACTCCCTAATTGTAACAGGACAAGCACAACATATTCTATCAAGTGTCGTTGCACTCCCGAGTGGAGTTACAATAGATAGGGCATTACTCATATGTCCAGGTTCTAATTCCAGTGTGTCCACAAATGATAGTGCAATAAAAGAATATGAAGAACTTGAATCAAATAGTACTCTAGCTATACTGCCATAAATAATAAGTGTACCTTCCACTGCTACTGGTGCATGGTCCTGTCTCCTATCTGGAACAACTACATAAACCCTTGCACCTCCTTGCTACTATGGTGCCTGACCTCTCTGCTGGTTATTCTTGTGAGGCTTGGGACAATTACGAGCCAAATGTCCTTGCTCACGACAATTGTAGTAATGCTCGCTAAACTGATATGGCTGTGCATCATGAGGTGTGGCTGGTACTAAAGCTGTGGATTGCTCACCATCACCAACTCTCTGCTGTTTCCCTGCTCACCAATCTTGTCTACCTCTCTACCAAGACTGACTCTGCCAGTTTCTCTAAGTATGCTGCTGCTGACCCCTCTATTTCTGTTGAGAGCTTCTAGCCCCCTTACTTTTCTGTTCTGCCTTATGCTCCTTCTGTTTCTAAAAGGCAATATTATTATTCTCCTTTATCGCCATGGCACATTCCACCACTTTTGCATATGTGTCATAACGATGACCCACCACAAACTTCTTCACATAAGAAACCAATCCTCGCTCAAACTTTCTAACCTTGTGTAACTCATTCGCAACAATATGAGGAACGAATCGGGATAGCTCTATAAACTTCCTCTCGTACTCACTGACTGACATATCATTATTTTGTTCCAGCTGCATGAACTCTGCTACCTTCTTCTCCTTCACTGATTGTGGAAAGTATTTGTCATTGAACCGAGTTTTAAAATCATCCCAGGTCATAACTGCAATGTCCACAACCATCCTGGTCTCTGACTGCCACCACTGACATGCCTCACCAGATAAAAGAAATGCACCAATCTTCCTTTTCTGCACCTCAGTGCAATCCATCATCTCAAAATACTTTTCCATATCTTCAATCCACTTCTCAGCATCAAGTGGATCGATAGCTCTAACAAATTCAACAGCTCCCAATTTGCGTATATCTCTAATAAATCCAATCATAGGATTCGGAGCATGAGGTGCATCCTCCAACTAAACATTATCATGGTCAACACCACCATGACCGACACCTCCCTAACCTCTGCCTCTAGCAGGTTGTCCTCTGCCTCTTCCCGCTCTTGACATCCTATTTTCAATAATGAATGTCAATGATAAGTCTCACAAGTAATTTATACTTTAAACTGGAGCATGGTAAGAGTGCAGATAATTCGTATAAGTATATTCTCCAATTGTTATTGTCACTTCTCTTAGCCAGACAATTCCTAACCTAGGCTCTGATACGAAACTGTCACTCCCCAAATTTTAACACAAAGACTCTTTGTCTTGTATGTAAAATCTGATGTATAACTTCCACCAATTTTCAACATGCATCCATCATAACATATAACTATAATGAATCTCCATCATCCAATCTATTAAACATGAGTGTCTAACAAACATAAATCAAATCCATAAATAGAGGTGAAATTCCCTCTAACAAAACAAAACATCTATGACCACTGAATTAACTTGATAAAGTTTCATAAAACATTAACTTTATTACAATAATCATAATAAAGGAAAACCGAGTAGAAATAAATCAATGAGCAACGAGCTAAAATCCATCCCCAAAATTTGTCTCCATCACATTCCTACTCTACGAGCACCTGAAATATGATAATGGAATGAGCTCACAAGCTCAGCAAGAAATGCTAAACACAATCATCGTTCAGCAAACTAACTTTACCTTGTATTCCCATATGTATAAGCAACTCAATAAATGCATTAATTAAATATGCATAACCCAGTTAATTATGAACTCTACAATAACCATTATTTATTTATTTTTATTCACATATCTCACATGAGCCCTGGGCTCCTATCTAATAAAGTAGTGTGAATCGTATAATCCCTGACTACTGAAAACACACATGTTGCTAGATTGTACATCTACTCTCCAGATGATCCCTGATCACGTCCACACAATAAGGGCTCATTAGACCTATGGCCATAATAAAAGGGTAGTGCACTCCCAAATAGGCAGGTCCCTGACCAAACCCAAAAGTCATCATAAGGTCAGTCCCTGACTACCCCTTTGACTAATCCAAACTCATCAATTAATTATTAATTATGATGAATTATGAAAGATATCATTAATTAATAATTCAGATTATCAATTAATACATCCAAATACCATTTTAATTTAAAAATTGAACCTTAAGGACCCAACTAGTGAGAGTACAAAATTCCTGGACATAGCCTAACATTAGATATAATACCCTGCAAAATTTCAGAATTTAACTCTTAATAGTTTTTCCATACTCTCCATTTTAGTGTTGAGAAATAATACTTTTTCAAGGTTTAATTTGGTAAACTTACCCAAATAACATTTAAAACCTGGATTTTAACAAAACTAGATTCATTATACTAAAATATAATAATCTGGAAAATTTCATAATTTTTGAAATATTTAAAATATTTTTCCTTAATTATTCTAAGTTAAAACTAATAAGAAACAAGAATTTTTAAAAACTACTTCTAATTCAGTTGGACCCAAGTGTAACTCCCCAGATTGGGCCTGGTGGTTGAGTAAAATTAGATTCAACATGGGCCTGACTCTTCCTCACATAACAAGCCCTACAGTGACACAGTAGAAAAACCCAAAAAAATTGAATTCCTCCTTCCCAAGTACGCCCAGATCCAACCAGTACTTGTAATTCATTCCAACTTCTAATTGACCCAAAATTCTATATTAAAGTTAATCAAGTTCATGACCATTGTTTCTGTTTACAGAATATAACTATATTATTTCAAAATAAAATTTGATTCAATCAATGCATGAAAAAATTCGACAAGAATAAGTTCCTCATTTCCTCTTTATCAGATTCTCATTTTATCAAATATTCATACATATCTATATATTATATTTATAGAGACATAACAAACCAATTTTACATGTTGCAATATATCATTCAAATACACCATATATATATATATATATATATATAGACACACACACGCGTATGCATGCCTATCACCTATAACAAATTTTACAAGAACACTGTCACGTTTGATTTCATACTTAAACATAAACAAAACAACAATCACCAAATAAATAATTATTTAAGTTCTAATAATCTATTAAGCATGACGTTGCCAATCTATTTTCAATTAAAATCTCATTAAAATACTATTAATCCTTAACACCAGATATAATGATTAATCAGAACACTTAATAAACAAAGTCACAAATATATATAAGTGTACAAAGCAAGATTAACTTGCCTGGGGTATAATTAATTCTTCCTTCCTACGCGAGTTCCCGCTTATCGTTCCTTACCTCGGCTACTGCAGAAAGTCACGATGTTAGATCACTCTCTGGTCTCCTTCCTCTCCCCTTATCGTGCTAATATATTTTTTTAAAAAAATATAACGCAGTGAAGAGTTATATAGATATTGGGAGTCTGGTGAGATAATATAGCGATTTAATTTTTTTAAATTTTTTTTAATTATTTAATCAACTCTATCACAATATCCTGTTTAAATTGAAACATAGATAACAATCAAATTAAATTAAATTAATAAATATATGTATATGATATATATATTTTTTACACGGGTCTTACATTATTCCTATAAATTGCCTTCTTATATATTTTCTTGTCCACAATTGACTCATCTCAAGCTCTGTAATTGCATATTCAAGCCACCCCATGAATTTAAATGCTTTGGTAATCTTATAAGTCTGAGTTTTAAGGAGGTCATAATTGCAACTAATATGCTCGGAACTCTCTTCTCAAGTGCCCCTTTACTCGATGAACTGTCTATTTTAAAATGCATTGTTATTGAGCATTTTAATAGCGAAGCTCCAGCACTAAAAGCACTGCAATTCATATTCATTCCTGAATTTAAATCGGTATCTTTCAAAAACTGCCCAAATCTTGCTAGGGTCGCGCTTGAATCATTGACACCATTGTTTGAAGTTGATAATCCAGAGTGGGGTAAAACCACCAATTTGATTGAGCTTTTTGCTAGTTTGCCTAAAATTGAGAAGCTTTTGCTGGACAACTTTGTTCTCGAGGTGAGATGTACATAAATTTAATGCCTTTTTTTCTTTTGGGTTCAATTGTATTGGAACATATATCTTGGTTCTTATTTTCTGGCCTTTTTGCTGCAAAGTTTTTTGCAGCAGGTACCTTCTCAAAGAGGCTTCCAGCAATTAAAAATTTGTGGTTTATTCAATTGTATTGGATCAATTTCCATGATTTGGATCAGATTTCATTCATTCTTTGCTTACTTGAAAGCTCTACTGATTTGGAGGAACTTCGTATTTGGGTGAAATTGTGAACTAAGATAGCGAATCTGTTCAATACCAAAAACACATATTTAAAGAAACTGATTTTTCATTTGATTTTGTCTTCTATAGGCCATAGAAAAAGCAGGTATAGCCATGCAACCGGTTTCCAATTTTTTGAAAGAATCCAAGTGGACGGACATGAAATTGAACACACTTCGAACTGTGGAACTTGCTCTTTACGAGTGCTCGAGGGCTGAACTTTTCTTCATCGAGTTTTTACTTGGCCGTAGCCCAATTCTTGGGAAAATGTTCATTAAGCTTTCAAGGGTTGATGCAAATGAAGGGTGTAGGACCTCAGAAGAGGTGATGCGGTTTTCGCGGGCTTCCGAGAAAGCAGAAGTAATATTTTAGTAGCCCCTTTCAGTAGCTTAATTTTGAGGTACAATTAATAGCATAAGAGATTTATTTCAACAACTTAGCAGACCCTGGTCTTCTTTGTCTTTGTCATGTTAATTGGACCAGTTAGGTCATTGAAAATCTCATATTGTTTTTTATTCAAGATTATGCTGACTAGGAGTTTTCTCTTCATTGTTCTCAAGTGCCCCTTTACTTGAAACCATGAGATTGATTCAAAGACTCCATTTGAGGACGGACTTGGCTACGTACCATTGTTTCTGCCATTAAAGCCAAAGCTGAAAATGGCAAAAAACATAAAGCAGCTTTGATGATACGTTCCACAAAATGGCAAAAAAACATAAAACTAATGTACTGATTGATATCCTTAAAAGATTCATATATGTTTCAACTTCCAAACACACTGCTCCAACACTTGATCAATCGACATGCCTTTAAGCTTTAGAAAGATTAGGACATATTGCAGTTGATCGGAAATAAAGTGTTAAAGAGTCTTAATAGTTAGGGCAGTTTATTCAGCCATCACAAAGAGCTGAAAGATTTATGGACGGAAGCCCCAGTTAGTCCAAGCTCTGGTTTTTTAGATATTGATTAGTAGACGTATTGCACTTGAAGCTAGCATAAATGAGGGGCACATTATTAGAATATAATTTACATCATTCAGGAGCAAAAAAGAATAAATAATTTACATTTGGAAACAGAAAAAAATAAGAAGTAGGGATGTCACTTCATAACTTGAATTTAATTCAATTCTCTGAGAGACTTTATATTTAATATTCAAATAATCAAAATTAGAAGATACAAATTTTTTTTCAATGAATGAGTGACTGTCTTTTTCATTAATAAGAATTCTAATTTACATAATACATTTAACGATTTTTATAATTGTATTTTGATTTGGTATTTTCTAATTACGGTTGAATTTTAAAGAGATATCCACCTATATGCTTTCCTTTTATTACAAAACCACTATCACTATTTCTAGTTTCTATTTACTAATATCACTAATTGCAACAATAAAAGTTAAGTACCAAACAAATAAAAAATAGAAATCGCTTCACCTCTCTAACGTCTCACCACCACTAATCTGGAATTTTTGTTTTTTTGATGTGTTTGTTGTAACTTTACATATTATCTTTCATGCATTTTTTACATATAAAAAAAAATGATAATATTGAAAACGAAAATAATGATAGTATAATAATAGCATTATTAAAGAAAACACTAAGAAAAATAATTAATTTACAAAGAAAATATGATAGTATAATAATAGCATGTTTTATCATAAATCTCCTCGTTTTGCCAATAAATTTTTGCCATTATAGTAGAACTAGAAAAAATATATCGTGTGACTTATTATGACATATGAGTAATTGGAATGTGTTTACAACTAATTAGAATTTGGAATAAAATAAAACAAAATTTATAAGAAAGAAGAGACAATTTGTGACAAAAGGTAAGAGAAAAATAGATTGAATTTCTAATTTTTAAATAACATGCATTTAGGGAGGTATACAATAATTTAAATTGTAATCTATTAAATTTTTGGGTAAGTACAGTCACACCCCTTGAGGTTTGGCAAAATGACACACAGATGAAAGTTACTTATTTTTTGGACAATGACACCCCTCTTTTTGAAATTCCATCCAAACAAAGCCTTAAATCGTATGAAAAGATAAAATTACCCCTCCATATTAAATTTAGATATATTACAAAATATCAGACCATGCAAATAGAGCCCTTTATTCATTTTTTCTCTTCTCTATCTTCCTATCACACAATCTATGCCTCTCTCTCTCTATCTGCTAATATATATATATATATATACACACACATACACACACACACACACACAGGCATATGTCCCTTGTCATCGATTCAATCCTTCTTTCTCTCTCTACTTTTTCCACCATTAGGCCATTATACTCTCTCTCCAGTTTCTAAAACTCTTCTTGAATTTTCCTCTTTCTCTCTCTTCACTGTCTCAACAAGTTTTACTTTCAACCCATTTGTTTCCTCAATTTGAACATCAAGTTCAATCCTCATCATATCCCTCTCTTGACACAAATGTTTGGATACATCTCTTTCTTTTTCAATTTCAACAAGAAGCTCAATCAATTTCTTCTCCAACAACCCAATTTCAGACTCTCTCTCTCTTCCCCTTCTCAATCTCACTCTTCTTCCTCACAACTTCCTTCATTTCTCTCTCTAGTTTCTGTAATCTCCTTCAATCTCTGCTATTTCTCTCATAAACCCATTTCTCTCCTCCACAATCACTTCAACCTGTTGATTGACATGCACAAAAACAAATTCAGAAACCAAGTTCCTCTCCAACTCTAGTCGTGCTATACCGTCTGGCAACTGAGTCAACTCGCCTGTGATACCCCTCGGATCCGAGACACGGGTTGATTAGGCCCAGGCCCAAACCCGAGGGATATCAAACAATTAATATGTTATAACGAACACGGATTACTAAATGAAATAAGAATTAAAAACTTTAATAGCTGAAAGAAATCTAAAAGACAATCTTTAATAGTTAAATACTTAAAATTTGAATAAACAAATTCCAAAACATCCAATGGTACAACTCGGGAATCCATCTCTAGAGGATCCCTAATAATAATCCAAACAGTAATAAAAGAAGTAACTGAAAAGACATCCAGAAGTAAGCTACGAAGAGAAATCCTACATCGTCGGTAGAGTGAATAGAAACCTCTGCTCAGCACGAACACGTCTAAGTCTGAAACTGTCGTGTGCCTGAAAAACAGAAGTGGGTCAGGCCCACCCGCAAGTTCTATACTACTACAACCCAAACAGAGGCCCGATACGCATGTACATCCTAACCAGTCCAACAATAACTAAATAGTCCGCAGGTATATATATATATATATAATCACACTAAAGGACTTTCACTAGCCTACAGGCCGGTCTCAACCTGAGTAGAGGTAACATGCTAAAATGCACACAAAGTGGGCATGTGTACCTGACCTAAACAGGGTATACCTCCAACCATCGTAGCCAGCTATGCATCCCCATGCATATACGCTCCCTAACCAATGACTCTAAGACTCAGGCTCACATCGTGGCACCATAAAATATATAATTAAATTCCATTCCAAAATCCATAGTAGTGTCGCTCAACTATATGTTGCCTTGACACTACAAATAAAAATAGGATTAACTTTTAGTTAATCCATTTCTTAATCCAGAGTAGGTAGGACTTAGCATTTTTTTGAGCTAATCCCCCTAGTATGACACCGTCCCATACCGGTGCATACAATCCATCCATCCAGTGTTGATAATGTATAAGATAGTAACCATTTCAATATCAACTAATCAACCAATCCATAACAAGTATACACCATCCATCCAATTATTGGTAATATCATTGACATTAACACATATAAATATCAAACTATCCAAATATAGGCCATAACAAGAATATATAATTAGCATGCTTGTTTTAATACATCCAGTACTTAAAACTAAAAAATATAAATATCCGAGAATAAATGTAACCATTCTGTAATCCACAATAAGCACAGTAATAATTAGAACAGAATTAACATGCTTACTAATAACCACTCCACAACATCCCATAAGTTGATCCATATAATTCTTTGAAAAATATCAACTAATTTAACCTTAAGCATTAACTGAATCTATATTAATTGATATACTTAATCTCAGATCATTGTTACATGATTTAAACATAAAAATTCCAAGTTAAAACTGCTAATTCAAAGCTAAGAAATTCTGGTCATCCCCATTTAAAATAATCCTGAAAACTTCCCTAATAAATTTCAGACTGTATCCCTGTTTAGTCTCTTATGATAAATTATGAATTTTCATGCTTCCTGCAAGTTTACCAAGAGTTTATACATCACTAATTTCCCCTAGAACCACTTCCAAAACATTCTGGAAATTTCAAATACCCATGTACAGTAGACTAGATTCGCAGAAAACAAAACAAAATAAAATAAAAATGAAAAACTGGGAGGAGCCGGCTCCACACAAAGTGGAGCCACCTCCAAATAATGGTGGAGCCACCTCCACCATGGTGGAGCCGCCTCCACTTAAACCTAGAGCCGGCTCCACTTTATGTGGAGCTTGCTCTGCGTTTTGGCAACCCAGTTCTTCTTCCCTGCGTCATCTCCTTCCATTCCGGCAGTATTTGACTGCTTTGTTCTTCTAAACCAACTCCACTACTGATTAAAACTAAGCCCCAAGGTGCTGTAAAGTTATTTAAATTCATTCTTTGTTAATCCGAACTCTCCCAAAACAAGAACAAATAAAAACAGTTTACAGACGGAAGAAAAACACGGGCATGAAGTATACTATTTTGAGACAACTAATTGTGCAACCATATTAGTTTAATGTTATTACTTCCTGGAACTGAATTAGTGATGCAAAGAACACGAAACCTAAGGGATTGAGTTAGATATAAAACTTGCCTTACACCGATGGTTCCTCCCAAGCTCTTCGGTGAACCTCTGTGTGCTCTCTCCCTCTCTGTTTCCTATATGCCTCCACAGAAAACCCACGGTTGTATTTTGTTTTTCCTTCAACCCTAAACCCCCGTATAAGCCTATTTATAACCTTAAACTTTAAACCCTAATCCATGTATAATACGGCCCATAGACAAACCTAGGTTGTACACTGTCGGCTGCATATGATAACTATAAACCCCACAAACTAAAGTCACGTTACAACCTACTGAAACTAATTTAAATATAATTTAACGAATCCAATTAAATTTAATTTCACTTAAAACAATTAAATCCTATAATAAAACAATTAATTAAACAAAACAATTAAACAAATTAACGCAATTAAAATTAAGTAAACTAAACAAGTAACCAAATAAATTTAAAACAATTACAATAATTTAAAACAAATAAGTAAACAAATGCAGCTTAAAATATTTAAAATAAGTAAATCAAACTAAAGGAAAAACAAAAGCAATTTAAACAATAATTAAATACCAGGACTATCCT